AGTATAAAGAGTTTTGGCAACCATTAATCGAACATTTGGTACGCGGTCAGAACCCAAGTTAAGCAAACAAGGCATTAATTCATTATTGAAATCTGCTGTAGACAGACACCGGTCACCATAGTTTAATATGTAAGAGCATATTTGAGCATACATTTGTCGTCTACTCCACAAGTCTGCTCGTCCAAAACGTGTAACTAGTTCATTCAACATCAATCGTTTTAAACTAAGATTTTTATTAAGTACCACCAATAATTCAGGAACCAGTGATAAAGCAGATTGGCGAACAGATGATATTCTGTCCATGAGTAAGGACAAGCAAACCTCATGTATATGATGATACATATCAAGTGGTGTAAATAAGTGTAAAGACTCAGCTAATTGTTCACAGAAATTTTGTCGAAAACGCCAGTTCCATTCATAATCAGTTTTCAAAAATCGACACATCATAGGTGCCAAATCACTACGTACAGTAACCGATAACATCTAATATAACAAAAAAAAGGATTTATAAATTTCATGTTTAAGTATTTATTGATATTATTATTAGCAAATAATCATCATTAAGTTTGACCACCTATATAACACAAATGTAAAACATATGGGCAAACTCACTGGTTAAATCATCAGAGTAAAATAATTTTATTTTATTGTTTGATCTTGAATTTAATGAAAACAAATAAAAAAAAAGTGAAAAAATTCCTTGTTATTTCTAAAAAGAGTTCAATTATAAAAATATGAAATAAGCTGATTTTAAACATAAGTCATTGTATTAAGAAAAATAATAACATAAACAGTAGTTTATTTTTTACAATAAATTATATCAAATCAAAACAGAAAAATAATACATAGTTGAATAAACCGTATTCTACTTATATAAATTTCAATAAAATACATTGCTGATATTAATGTATACTTAATTTTTTACTATGGAAGTTATTACTGTTAAAAGTAAGCACGCAACTCAAAAGATGGTCAATGTCTGTTATACAAGAAATTTTGACATGATTTACTCAAATCTATAACATGACATTAATTAAATATAAGTTGGATGTATATTTAATTCAATATTCACCAAATCTATAGTCAGAATAATTTAGGTTAAATTCATCACTGAGAAATCAGATGAAACACGGACCATAAGTTTTTCATCATATTTAAAAGATATTTTGAAATAAACCATTTTTTTTTTTTTATTATTAAAGAATAAATACTCTCTAATACTATCCAGTGATAACAAATAATAATTTATATTAAATCAGATATAATTTAGGTTTAAGTTCATCACTGAGGTATCAGATGAAACACGGACCATGAGTTTTTCATCATATTATATAAAAGATATTTGAACATAAATTAATTAATTTCTTAATAGTAAAATAAAGTAGTCACCAATTTTACATATGTATTGAAAGAGTCAAGTTTATATTAAATTATAAATTATAGTATATAACGAAAAATGATTCTAAGCAGACAACTTACAAATCTAAGAATATTTTATTGTGCATAGAAAATAATGATAGAATGATCTAAGTCTCAGTAATAAATAATATTTTGAACATTTTTGAAATTGAATTGTTATAAAAAAAATTTGAAAAAGCTAATACAATCGTTTAGCAAAAGTTTTAAGTTTTTCATTTATGGATTATTAAAATAATAAAATCAATTATCTGTTTCTTTTATCAAATATTAATGTAATTTATACTATTTTAGCTAATGTTCTTATTGATCTAATAGGAACAGCTGTGTTTAAATTAATAAAGAAAAATGAGATTTTAAAAATGGTGTTTCATAAAAATTCTATTTTTTTTTAGAAATCAAACAACTATCATCAACTCAAAGTTGAATTTTAAAAATTGTTTACTGTTCCAAAAAGAGATGAGACATAAAAATAAAAAATAAATCTATAACTTAATAGTAATTTCATCACTTAGATTTAAAGATAAAATATTTATGTATATCAGATAAAATTTAGGTTCAGGTTCATCACTGAGATATCAGATGAAACACGGACCATAAGTTTTTCATCATATTATAAATAAAATATTTAAATAATTTAATATATTTTGGTAAGGTTTTGCTGTAGTATTTGGACACTATGACTTCTGACGCTACAGGGAAAAGAAATCTAGATATTTAAAAAAAAAAAAAACCATGAAAATTAGATATTTAACTAAAAAATTGTCCATTTATATTTCATCATATTTAAATCTCTAAACCCACGAATTAAAAAAAATATATTATTTTTAGATATAATATAAAAGTTTTATTTTTCTGACAATGGCATAAGGGACGATTTTTTATTAGCTAATCTAAGCTTTAAATATTTACAACCAATAGTTGTATGTATTTATTTGTTACATAGAAAACATGCTAAATGATGTATAAATACATTTCATAACAAAAGTAGTAAAAATATAAAGTCTAGTAGTGCATATTTTGGGTGCTCTGACATTATAAAGTAGATATTTTAGTTATTAGTGTAGATTTAACTTAAGAAATCACTTAGCTATAGTTAATAATTTCATGTACCTACCAACATTATTTTTTATTAATTTACCTTGAGAAAAGCAGCAAAATTATCTATGGCACCAGACCGTACTTCATCTAAATCCAATACAAGAGACTCAAATATTGTTAAGAGATCTCTGGATGTAGCTTCTTCACCGATGTAAATAGCCAATTTATGGATGTAAGATGCAGCCTTTCTTCTAACTTTCCACTAAAAATTAAAATTAGAAGTAATATTATGATTAGAAAAATCACTTAACAAATTTTCAAGCAACATACAGATCTGTGTGAAGCTAGAACATAATAAGTATGTCTGAGCAATGGCCAGTGAGTAGGACCTATAGTAACAAGCACTGCGGGTAACATACATGCGCATTGAGATGCAAGATCACTGTCATCAAACGCACCAGCCATGTCAGCATAATGATCAAGCAGTAATGTAGGTACAACTAGATCATGGCCATTAAGTTCAGTAGCTGAAGGTTTAGAATCTCCATTACCTTCTTCTGAAATTGGTTTTACTTCAAACTCAGATTTTTTCATTTCAGTGCAATTCAAATTAGCTAAAAAATATAGGTATTATTTTAAAGAAATACAATTTAAATCATTTATCAATTTAATGCAACTTACAATTGTTATTCATTGGCACATACCATAACTTATTCGGTATCATTGATTGAAGTCGTTCACCATCAGATTCCCTATCATCACAATCATTCTGAAATTAAATATAAGTTTAGAAAACGAATCAAATAACCAAAAAAATGTAAGTATTTACTTCAAAACTAAAAGATGATTTTGTATCACAGATGGGTTCTCTCCAATATGTAAAAGTACTATATAATTCTTCAGATTCAGTCTTAACATTATAATCAGCAACCCAAAATTTATTATCATTTTTCATTGTTGTTTCATTTGACCAAGGCTTTTCTCGATCCATTAACAGTTCTGTTGCTTTAAAATATTCTTGACTTGTTTGACATTTCATAGTAATATAATGTAAATCATCAGTGAAATTGCTGACCATCATAAGAATAAAAGTACGAGTAGTAACCAATGACGTAACAGCAGGACTTGCATACGTTGTAA